CTTCTTCTTCTTCTTCTTCTTCTTCTTCTTCTTCTTCTTCTTCTTCTCCTTCTCCTTCTCCTTCTCCTTCTCCTTCTCCTTCTCCTTCTCCTTCTCCTCCCCCTCCCCCTCCCCCTCCCCCTCCTTCTCCTCCTCCTCCTCCTCCTTCTCTGGATAAGACACCATGACCAAGGTAATATAGAGAAGAAAGTTTTTTGGGGATTTACAGCTTGAGAGGAGTAGAGTTCATAACCATCATGTCAGAGAACATGGCAGCAGGCAGGCATGGTACCAGAACGGTATCTGGGATCTCTCATCTAGATTCATAAGCACAGAGAAGAGAGAGAAGCACAGGAAATGTCCCTAGCCTTCTGAAACCTCAAATCCTGCTGCCAGTGACACACCTTCTCTAACAAGGTTAGACCGCCTAAGCCTTTCCACACAGGGACCAGATATTCTTCCAACGAGGATCAGATATTCAAATATATAGGCCTAGGGAAGCCATTCTTATTTAAACTACCACATCCCACTTTCTTGGCCCTCATAGGCTTGTCATATCATAATACAAAATGCATTTAGTTCAATTTCACAGTCTCAATGCCATTTAAAAGTCCAAAATCCAATTCTTATCTGAGACTCAAGCAATCTCTTAATTGCACAACGTCCCCCTGTACAATCAAATTACATACTTCCAAAGTAAAATTGCACAGAATATACATTACCCTTCTAAAAGGGAGAAACAGGAGCATAGTGAAGAAAAAGTAGACAGAAACAAACTGAAACCCAGCAGAGTAAACTTCATAAATCCTGTAGCTCGATGTCTGATGTCAAAGGACTTAGATGGCTCTGCCCTACAAGCTTTGGGCTGGTTCTGCTCCCTGTGTGCAGCTGTCTCTGGCAGACATTCCGTGAGTCTAGCACCTCTGGCATCCTGGGGTTTCAGATGCAGTCCAGACTTCACTTTCATAGCTTCATGGAATAGAATGGCCTTCAGGCCCTCCATGCAAAGATTTCCTAGCTACACTCTGGGCCTCACCATCCCTCCTTACCTTTGGAGAAGGGAAGATTCCACAACTCTTTACTTCTGCATTCTTCATGAATTTAAATCCAGAACCACATGATCAGTACTTACAAGTTCGACTGTGTGCTTGGAATGGAGCCTGGGCCCCTTCTTGAAATATATGTTTAGTGAATTTGTTTGTTTGTTTGTTTGTTTATATGTACTGTTGGCTTAGATTTTTCAAACCTTACTTTAGTAAGGGTTCTTAAATGCTTTGACCCTTCTTCTAGCCAACTGTCCAAAGGTAGGGGAGAAAAGATGGTCAACAGGACAAGGGGATGTGGACCTGTTTAGAAGTAGTTCTTTGGGGATGATTCCAATCTCTGTGTGTACCAGCAGTCTATTTCAGTAGTGTCAGGATACCAAACATGAATCAGTAACAGTAGTATGATCCAGCAGAAACCACCAGGCCGACACTGAATTGGCACAAGCAGCTAGGAGGCCAGGAGTTCTCTGCCATACCTCTCTCAATGAAGCGAAGATCCGTGAAGACTGGAGACCACCAAAGCGTTGCACAGCTAGCCACTATTAAATCCTACTTATACTCTCTCCTAACATCATGCGTCCACTCAGGGTTTCGCCTCAGCAAAACATCATGAATCCACATCACATGACACAACAAGAATTTCCACTTCTAGGTACATTGATGTTTTGCCTGTATGTATGTCTGGGTGAGGGTGTCAGATACCTTGAAACAGGCATTACAGACCATGTGGGTGCTAGGAATTGAACTCAGATCCTTTGGAAGAGCAGCCAGTGCTTTTAAGCAGAAGCCTTGTTGTTTCTTAGGAGCAGACAATCCCTCGGGCCTTTTCCTTTCACCTGGGTATAGCCTTTCTTGGGGGCACCATTCCTTTATTCCATTTCAAGTCAGGCCTTTCCAATTCTCTGTCAGCACAAACTGTGGCAGCAACATTAAACTTCCTGGTGCTCTTTTCCTCCTCAAACTGTACATTCTGCTACAGACAGAACTGTATGTCTGAGCTGCCTGTACTTTTTCATTGTAAACATGAGCAAGAGTGATTACTAGTGGCCACACAACAGAATCAATATTAGGCTATCGGGTAATCTCTTCTGCAAATAAAATTATTCCACTATTTTTCAATTTTGCCCAGTCAGGTTTTGTTTTTTTTGTTTTTTGGGTTTTTTTGTTTGTTGTTGTTTTTTTTTTTTTTTTTTGGATTTAATAGATATTTATAGAACATTTCATCCTAAAACACACACACACACACATACAAACACACCTCTTGTTGAAGATGCTTTGATTTTCCACTATATAGTTTTGACTTCATTATTAAAAGTCAATTGTCCATAGATGTGTGGCTTTATTTTTGGGTCTTTGATTTGACTGCATTTGTCTGTTTTGTACCAGTACCATGCAGCTTTTATCAGTATTGCTCTGTAGTACAGCTTGAGGTCACTGATGTTGATTCTTTATGAAGTTGATTTATTGTTCATGATTGTTTTGGCTATCCTGAGTGTATTACTTTTCCATATAAAGTTGAGAATTGCTCTTTCAGCATCTATGCAAAATTTTGTTAGTATTTTGATTGAAATTGCATTGAATCTGTACATTGCTTTGGTAAGGTGTCCATTTTCAATATCTTATTCCTACCAATCCATGAACATGGGAGATCTTTCTATCTTCTGATACCTTCTTTAATTTCTTTCTTCAGGGACTTGAATTTGTTATCATCCAGATCTTTCACTTGCATGGTTAGAGTTACACCAAATATTTTACATTATTGGTGGCTGTTGTAGAGTGTTTTGTTTCTCTAATTTCTTCTTATCCAGCTAATCATTTGTATAAATGAGGATTACTGATTTCTTTTTTTTTTTTCAATTTCTTTTTTTTTTAATTTCTTTTTTTTTTTGAACATGAAATGCTTTTTTATAGCATGTTTTACAAGGGGAGGGGGTAAGAGGGTCCAGGTGGTGGAAAAGTACAAAATCTTCTTGGCCTGTGCCTTGAAACATGTCATGGTCTATATGGTACACTGCCTTGAATTATGATCTACCTGCAGTTCTTCAGAAGATACCCTCATACCCATAAAGGGAATGCCCCAGTCCCAGTTCCCTTATGGAGCCGAGGACTGATATGCCTGCCCAATACCACAGAAGGCACAGCTAACCGGCTACCACAAATATTAATGAAAAAAATAGATACCCTCACAAAGCCAGGCCCAATCATAAATATGATGAATAACAATTTACATCCAGGGAAGAGAAATCTCCCTGAGAATCCCCTTCTTTTTTCTTTCCAGGTAAAATTGAATCACCCGTGATGCCTGCTATTAGAAGTTCTAACCCAGATGGACCAGAAGCCAGGAGCCTCGCCCTTACCCTCACCCCCTACCTTT